GGGTGTCTGTCGTGGGGAGGGGAAGGGAGAGGAGTTTGTCAGCCGCTCTGAGACTCCTTCGGGTAGGGAAGGGCCATGGGGTATAAATCCAATCTCTTCTCTTCTTCTTCCCTCGCCTTGCCTCTTGGAAATCTGCTTGCAGGCAACCCACAGGCCGCGTGGTGTGTGCCTGAGCGGCCTCTTCAGTCAGGGCCCGCGCCAGAGAGCACTAAGGGATGATGGGCATTGGCCAATGGGCAAAGGTCTCAGTGCCCACCTGCCCGGCCTCCCTCGTTCTGTGCAGGGGGTGTTCAGACGCGGCCCAAGAGAACTCTGGGTTTCAGCACCTGGCCTATCCTTCTGGAAGATGGGACCCCCGAGGAGGCCCCGCTGGAAGACCCCACAAAGCTGAAGGCCGGCACCCTCCCTGCCCCCCTCCCCACATGGCTGGATGGTGCTTTGAGTGCCCAAGGCAAGGTCTTGTCCTTCGCCAGAAGGAGAAAGCTCGCTCTGTGTTACCAAACTGGCTCCCAAGGTCGTCCTGCCAGGTGTGTTTAGGGTTGCCAGCTCTGGGTGGGGAAACACCTGGAGATTTGGGGGTCAGAGCCGGTGTTTCCTCCAAGCTGAGTCAGTGTGAGCTAGCTCACAGTTTTTTTAGCCTCCGGCTCACCCGTTGTTGTCCCAGGTCAGGAAGGATGTGGCTCCAGAGCAAGCTAATTCATGCAGTAGCCAAATCGCTCGCTCACAACTTTAATGCCCGTAGCCCACAAAGCAGAATTTTTGCTCACAGGACTCCACGGCTTAGAGGAAGCATGGGTCGGAGCCTGGGGAGGGCAGGGTTTGCGAAGGGGAGGGCGTCAGGTAGCCCTGACCTGGGTCTGGAATGGGGAGGGGTGCCCCTCCCGTTGTCTGTCTCCGCTCTCCCTGGCTCACCAGCTGTTTGCTATTGTATGCTTGACCTTGTAGATGCTCCAGCTGCAGTTTTATCCGGCTGGGAAAGTCAACGGCTTTTGCTTTCCCTGCTTGCTTTGCCCGCGAGCGTGAGATGTATCCATTGGCTCATACTTACCGGGGGGATGTTTGATTCTAGTATGCGTAAGAGGCCCCAGTATTGGCAGCCATTCCTGACACAAGCTGTACACGTGTCTCTAGGTCTGGATTTACCAATAAACAGTTATCTCCAGCTGCAGTTTTATCTAGCTGGGAAAGTCAACGGCTTTTGCTTTGCCTGCTTGCTTTGCCCGCGCGCGTGAGACGTATCCATTGGCTCATGCTTACCGGGGGGATGTTTGATTCTAGTATAAGTCAGAGGCCCTAGTATTGGCGACCATTCCTGACACAAGCTGTACACGTGTCTCTAGTACTGGATTTCACCAATAAACAGTTATCTTCTCGTGAAGCCCTGTGTTGAGTAACCTGGCTAAGGACCCTGACAGAGGGAAGGGACCTCAGCTGGATATAATGCCAGAGAGCCCAACCTCCAATGCAGCCATTTTCTCCAGGGGAACTAAGAGGGTCTAGGGGGGCCAGCTTTGGGGGGGTTGAGCCTCGAGAGGGTGGGGTTTGGGGAGGGACCTCAGCAAGGTTTAATGGCACAGAGTCCACCTTCCAAAGCAGCCATTGTCTCCAGGGGAACTGATCTCTGTAGCCTAAAGACCAGTTGCAATCCAAGAGATCTCCAGCTGCCACCTGGAAGGTGGCAACCTTAGCACATGTTCCACTGAGATACTTGCAAGCAGTGTTCCCTCTAAGCTGAGTCAGTGTAAGCTAGCTCACAGTTTTTTTAGCCTCTGGCTCACACAAAGTAGGATTCTTGCTCACAAGACTCCACAGAGGAGGAGGAAAGGAGGAGGAGATTGGATTTATCCCCCGCCCTTCACTTGAAGTCTCAGAGCGGCTTACAAAGTCCTTTCCCTTCCCCTCCCCACCACAGGCACCCTGTGAGGCAGGTGGGGCTGAGAGAGCTCTGACACAAACTGCTCTTTTTCAAGGACAGCTGTGCCATAGCTTGTGACTGACCCAAGGTCACATCAGCAGGTGCAAGTGGAGGAGTGGGGAATCAAACCAGGTTCTACCAGATTAGAGTCCACGCACTTAACCACTACACCAAACTGGCTCTCTGGCTTAGAGGGAGCATTGCTTGCAAGATGCAGAAAAACGTATTGGTTCTTTCTGACCATATGACACCTGGGAGATGTTTTCTTGTATTCATATATTCAATACCGAAGACGGAAGGGACCACCAAGGTAATCTAGTCCAACCTCCTGCCAATGCCGGAACTTCAGCTACTATGTCCCTGGCAAGTAGGTAGCCGATCAGTACTTAGCCTCCAACGACCAAGAATCCGCCATTTCACCAGGGAGGCTATTCCAGCATCAGACACACCCCACGTGAGGAAGCTCTTCCTCAAATTTAGACGAAATCTCCTTTGCTGTAACGTATATCCATTAGACTGAGTTTGTTTGTAAAGTTAAGTTTGACACTGCTGCCGAATTCATCCTGGCTTGGAAACGGTTCTGGTGTGTGTGTGCGTTTTGCTTTTCTCTGAGACTGGCCTAACGGCTCCCCTTCCCCTTGCAGGGTGTGTCTCAGGAAGGCCAGCGAAGTGGCTGTCCTGCTAGCCGAGAGGAGTCGATCCGTCATTCTGCAAGGTAGAGCGGCTCCTTTGCCCTACATTTCTGCTTCAGGATCTGGGAGCCCCGGGTTTGAATTCCAACTCCGCCATGGAAGCTTGTGGGGTGACCTTGGGCCAGTCACACGCTCACAGCCGAGCCAACCCCATAAGGTTGTGGCGAGCATAAAACAGAGGAGAAAAGAATTATGTGAGCCCCCTTGGGACCCAACTGGGGAGAAGTTTACCTGATTATGCATTGGATAGAGCAGGTCGAGAAAGAGGTACTTTTCTTCCTTTCTCACAATACGAGAACTCGTGGGCACTCCATGAAATTGCTGAGCAGTCGGGTTAGAACAGGTAGAAGAAAGTCCTTCTTCACCCAAAGAGTGATTCATACATGGGATTCACTGCCACAGGAAGTGGTGGCGGCTACAAGCATGGGCGGCTTCAAGAGGGAATTAGATAAGCATATGGAGCAGAGGTCCATCAGTGGCTCTTAGCCACAAGGTATAGATAGGAACTCTCAGTCTGAGGCAGTGATGCTCTGTATTCTTGGTGCCTGGGGGGGGGGGGGCAACAGTGGTAGGGCTTCTAGTGTCCTGGCCCCCCTGCTGGCCCTCCTGGGGGCCCCTGGAATTTTGGCCACTGTGTGACACAGAGTATTGGACTGGAGGGGCCATTGGCCTGATCCAACATTGGCTTCCCTTATGTTCTTATGTTAAGAGCAGGGGTCATAAGAACATAAGAGATGCCAATGTTGGATCAGGCCAAAGGCCCATCCAGTCCAACACTCTGTATCACACAGTGGCCAGAAATACCAGTGAAGCCGTCCATGCTTGTAGTCCATCAGTGGTTATTAGCCACGAGGTATAGACAGGAGCTCTCGCTCTGGGGCAAGTGATGCTCTGTATTCTTGGTGCTTGGGGGGGGGGGGCAGTGGGAGGGCTTCTAGTGTCCTGGCCCCACTGCTGGACCTCCTGATGGCCCCTGGAATTTTGGTCAGTGTGTCACACAGAGTGTTGGACTGGAGGGGCCACTGGCCTGATCCATCATTGGCGTCTCTTATGTTCTTAAACGAATGAAGTAAATAAGTAGGATGTGGCATTTTGTGCTGTGCATATATATGTCTAAGAAACCGGGTTGAGGGCACGCTCCTTGACATCTCTCTCTCCTCATTGGCCTTCAAGGTAGCCCAGCCCAGGGACTGAACACCCACCCACGCGTGGCACATTTCTCAGACTCTCTTTTCTCCCCCTCCTCTCTCAGAAACAGACGACAGGGATCTGAATTGTTTGCTGGCCTCCCTGGTACAGGTCATTTCGGACCCCTACGCAAGGACCATCTCCGGGTTCCAGAGCCTGGTGCAGAGGGAGTGGGTGGCCGCCGGACATGCCTTCCAGCAGCGCCACAACCTGTGGCAGAAGAACGAACGGGACGAGGTGAGGCCGCTGCCGTAGGAACCAGGAGATGGTGCTCCAGGCCCTTTCAATGGCCATGAAAGGCTGAAGAATGGAGGGGGGGAGGTTTTCAAATATGTGAATTTATTATTACTAGAACAACACCAGGGGAAGGCATCATTCTCTATGCCCTACGGTTGGCCCTCCAGAGGAATTCTAGGTGCTTGGGGGGGTAAGAGTGGGAGGGCTTCTGGAGTTCTGGCCCCGCTGCTGGACCTCCTGATGGCCCCTGGCTGAACTAGACGGACCCTCAGTAGTCTGATCCAGCAGGGCTCTTCTGGTGTTCTTCTCGGGGGAAGGCCTCGGCCTCTCTGCCCTGTTGTTGGCCCTCCAGAGGAATTCTAGGTGCTTGGGGGGGTAAGAGTGGGAGGGCTTCTGGAGTTCTGGCCCCGCTGCTGGACCTCCTGATGGCCCCTGGCTGAACTAGACGGACCCTCAGTAGTCTGATCCAGCAGGGCTCTTCTGGTGTTCTTCTCGGGGGAAGGCCTCGGCCTCTCTGCCCTGTTGTTGGCCCTCCAGAGGAACTGGCTGGCCACTCTGTGGTACAGGATGCTGGAATGGATGGACCCTCACTGGTCTGACCCAGCAGGGCTCTTCTGGTGTTCTTCTCAGGGAAAGGCCTCGGCCTCTCTGCCCTGTTGTTGGCCCTCCAGAGGAGCTGGCTGGCCACTGTGTGAGACAGGATGCTGGACTAGGTGGACCCTCCCTGGTCTGACCCAGCAGGGCTCTTCTTATGTTTCTCTCAGAGGAAGGCTTCAGCCTCTCTGCCCTCTTGCTGGACCTCCAGAGGAACTGGTTGGCCACTGTGTGAGACGGGAGGCTGGACTGGATGGACCGTTGGTAGGATCCAGCAGGGCTCTTCTGACGTTCTAATACACTCAGGACATCCTGGATTAATTCCTTTGTGCTTCTTGCTGGAGCAGCCACATTTCCTCCTCCCAAAAGGCAGAACAGGCGGGAAGAGGGGGAGGGGTATTTTGTAATGTACTGATTTGGGTAGACGTGAGAGAGACACTTCAGCATTTTGCTCTTTGTGCTTTCCCCCCCTCCTCACAGTCTCCTGTGTTCCTCCTCTTCCTGGACTGCGTCTGGCAGCTGCTACGGCAATTCCCACAATCCTTTGAGTTCACGGAGGCCTACCTGTTGGCCCTGCACGACAGCACCTGCGTCCCGTTTCTCAGCACCTTCCTATTCAATTGCCAGTGGGAAAGAGGGCGGAATAATCAGGTGAGCCAGTGGTGGGGGCGGTGGTGGTAAGAAACCCTGAGGTATTCACAGGCCTACAGCTCCTGACCGGATGCGAGAGGTAGATGCTGCTGCACCAGTTCAGAGCAATGACCATAATGCCATTAAGTTCAGAAAGAAGGAGTACTCTCTGTGACCTTCCTTGACACAGAGAGTGCTCCATCTTTCCGTGTTATACCTCTGTGGAGGGCAGTCACAGCTGCTGGCGAAACGTCAGGTCCTACAATGCCAAGACCATGGCCAGACAGCCCGGAAAATCTGCAACAGCTAATGAACTCCGGCCTTGAAAGCCTTCGACAACATATTAACATTATAATCATTCTCAAAGATGCATCATAAGCCCAGGTCAAGAACCAATTTGTATTAGTTCTTTGAACGCCAGCCACTATGAAGGTGGAGGAGCAGAAACCTCTTGGGAAAACTCCTCTCTCTCTCTCTCTCTCTCTCTCTCTCTCTCTCTCTCTCTCTCTCTCTCTCTCTCTCTCCCAGCACCGTTTTCTCAATCAGCTTTACACTCCTATCAACGGCTGGCGAGAAACCCTGTGTCTGGAAATCCTGCCGAAGGACAGCTACCCGGCGAAGGAGGCAGGGGGTGCCTCTTTGCCCAGCGTCTGGGACTGGGGCCTGCGGTACAGCCTCCAGCAGAGGGCGCAGTTCCGGAACCCTGGCTACCGACACGGCAGCAACAGCCACGGACCTGTCCAGAACGGGAGCTTCCTGCCCCAGACCGGTCACAAGGTGTGTCTGTGTGTATCAAAGAAGGAGTGACCCTTCGTAAGAGCTTAGAGCAGGGGTCCCCAACATGGCAGCGCTCATGGGTGCCTGCTGATATCTTTCCTGGTGCCCGCCAAGTGGGGCGGGCGAGGTGAGCATTTGCCCAGCAGGGCATCCGGTTGGCTGTGCGGATTAGAAGGCATCCTCTTAAACAGAGCTTCTGCCTGGAATGTCCGAGAGTGACCATTGCGCGTACAGGTACCCTGACTCCTTGACGTTCTGTGGTTGGCTCCGCCCCCCGCAGCGGCCGTTTTGTGGCTGTGCTCACCGCCCTGCGTCAGAATTCCGGCGCTGCCCACAGGCTCAAAAAGGTTGAGGAACCTAAAAAGGTTAGTCAAGAATAGAAGAGGGCCAACTCTAAAAATCTAATTACGGAACATACACATTGCTGGTCTTCTTAAAAGTCCAACGACATGCCATTTCCCCCCATCTCTTAGTCCTCAGCCAATCATGGGAAGGCTTTCTCTCTCTCCTCTGAAGCAGGAAATAGGAGAGACTGGGGGAAAGGAGCCGCAATGTTAGAAACAGGAAGCAGGAAGCAGCACAAAGTCACTAGCTTTCGGGCCAGATTGCACTTGCAGGGGCCGTATGTTTGACACCCCTGGGTCCTGGTCACATGTACCAGAAAATGCAGGGGGGGGGGGGGGAGATTGGCTCTTGCAGAATATGGAATAAAGACCAGAAAACAATTGTTTCAAAGTTTAACCACTGGGCAAAAATACAAATGAAGCCTCCAGTGCAATCACATGTCCAGTAGTACTTCTTAGATAAGCATATGGAGCAGAGGTCCATCAGTGGCTATTAGCCACAAGGTATAGATAGGGACTCTGGGGCAAGGGATGCTCTGTCATCTTGGTGCTTTGGGGGGTCAACAGTGGGATGGCTTCTAATGTCCTGGCCCCACTGCTGGACCTCCTGATGGCACCTGGTATTTCTGGTGGACCTCCTGATGGCCCCTGTTATTTCTGGCCACTGTGTGACACAGAGTGTTGGACTGGATGGGCCTTTGGCCTGATCCAACATTGGCATCTCTTATGTTCTTATGTTCTTATGTTCTCTCTGGTCCACTATATATTCTCCTGAGATTGTATAGCCAGATGTTCCCAATGTAGTGTTCCTTAAGTTAAAAGCAGTGTTTTAGGTTCAGTTTTTCCCCCTTTTCCCTTTTTTTGTCCTTACTCAAAAAGGTTGAGGAGGACCAGTGTTCCCTCTAAGCTGAGCCAGGGTGAGCTAGCTCACAGTTTTTTAGCCTCCGGCGCACTCGTTTTTGCCTCCGCTCAGGAAGGGATGGCTCCAGAGCAAACTAGTTTATGCAGCAGCCCAGTCGCCCGCTCACAGCTTTAATGGCAGGAGGAGCTCACAAAGTGGGATTTTTGCTCAGAGGACTCTCCACAGCTGAGAGGGAGGCATTGTGTCGAGGACCTCCGGATTGGAGGCCGGTTCCTGGCTTTTATTCCATTCGGAGTTTCCCCTTTGTTTCCTCCTCCAGATGGAAAACCCTCCTGGGAACTGGGCGGTGTTCTTACCCTCCAAGGGCTCTTTGTCTCTCCCGGCGCAACTCTTCCCTTGGAAAAATGGCTCCCTGTCTAAGAAGGTGTCCCGGTGGGCTCAGCTGTCGGAGGGCCTTGGGGAACAGGACAGGCCCTCGAGAGGCAAATCCAGCCTCCGCCACCTTCCCCCGAGAGGTCTGCTGCTCCTCCCATCGCATGCGGGGCCGTTCATCCAGCTATGGAAAAGATGTTACCTCCGTGGGAACCCGGAGGCTCAGGTGAGAAGGTCGGGGTCGTTTCGTAGAAAAAGAGCTAGGGGAAATCATTAGCATAACTCATTAGCATATGCCACACCTCCTGACATCAGGGGCCCGGCGGTGGACCTGCAAGGCCGGCGGGAGTGCGAGGAAGCCCCGCCAAGGCCCTCCCTGGCCCCAGGCAGGCAGGGGTGGGGAGAGGCGGGGAGGAAGAAACTTACCCTCCCTCTTCTCCTGCCTCCTCCTGGCTGAATGAGGGCCGGAAGCGGGGCAGCCGGAAGCAGGGGCGGGGCTTCGTCATGTGCCCCGCCCCCCGTACCTCACCCGGGGGAACTGCGTTCCCCTGCGATCCCCCCCGAAATGACCTCTGGAGAAGGCTGTTGCGAAAGATGGAGGGTGCCTATAAAAGTTCGCGAATCCTAAGAAGGATTGTAATTGGCGTCAGGTTCAGGTCTGGCCTGGGGATCTCCCAGAATTACAACTGATCTCCACACCACAGAGATCAGTTCCCTTGGAGAAAATAGCTGCTTGGCATCACATCCCGGCTGAGCTCCCTCCCTTCCCCAGACTCTACCTTCCCCAGGTTCTGCCCCCAATTCTCCAGGAATTTCCCAACCTGAAGTTGGCAGCCATAGGGGGGATTATGATGAAGAGGAAGAAGAAGAGTAGGTTTTTAAACCCTACTTTTCTCTACCTTAAGGAATCTCAAAGCAGCTTACAATCACATTCCCTTCACCTCCCCAAAACAGGCACCTTGTAACTCGGTAGGTGGGGCTGAGAGAGTTCTGAGAGAACTGTGACTGGCCCAAGGTCACCCTGGTAGCTTCATGTGGAGGAGGAGTCGGGATTAAACCCAGTTCTCCAAATTAGAGTCCACCGCTCTAAACCACTACCCCATGCTGGCTCTCATTAGGTAAAAGGTTCAAGAGTAGGTAAAAAGGTAAAGAAATGGAAGAGGTATGGTTTGTGCCATTTCGTTGCAAAATAAAAATGTATACAATATAAGAGAAACCTATGTGCCCCTAATTCACATTAACCATGTAGAAGGAGGATTAATCGACCAGTAAATCTTTAACAAGCTTATGCTTCAATAAATATGTTGTTAGGATGCCCATACAAGGGAAAACTCTATGGTTTTCCCTTGTATGGCCGTGGCCCCGCCCCCAGCGTCCCCGGCGTGCCTACGTCACTTCCGGGTGACGTGCACGCACGCACAACCCCGACGCCGGCCGGGAGCCCCCCGCTCCCGGCGAAGAAAAATTTGGCAACCCTAGATCTCTGTCAGCTGGAGATCAGTCGTAAAAGTGGAATTCCCCAGGCCCCACCTGGAGGCTGGCCACCCGAGGAATTTCTCCGCCTGGAGTTGGCAACCCTACCGGGAGGCTGCCTCACACTCTCCAATGAAAGTTTTCTGGCCTCTTTCACAAAGACCCTTGGAGAGTGCCCCCGAGAGAGAAGAGAAGGACGGAGTGCATCGAAGTAGCTGAGAGGCCTAGATGGTTTAGCAAGAGATCTTGCCCGCCGCCCCTCTAAAAGCTTAGACGCGGGGTCCCCCATGTGGTCGCCGTGGCAGCCACCGAAACCTCCCCCGGCCACTCCCCCAAGTGCTTTTGGAACGTGGGCGTGGCCAGGTGAGACTTTCGCCCAGGAAGGCTTCCGATTGGCCACTGGAGATTTGATTGGCTTCGCGGGCTTTTCAAAGCAAGGATGCTCGCCGTGACGGAAAGTAAGCCGCGGCAGCCATCTTCTGGCTGGCTCCGCCTCCTGCGGCAGCCATCTTGTGGCAGACATCTTGGGGCTGCACCCGCTACACGGTTTCAGGATTCCATATGTGCCAGCAGGCTCTGAAAAGGTTGGGGGTGAGGGCTGCCAACCTCCAGGTGGGGGCTGGAGATCTGGGATGAAGCATGCTCCCCAGCTAACAGAGATCGGTTCACCTGGAGGGAATGGCTGCTTTGGAAGGGGGGCTGTGTGGTGTGATAGCCCTCCCAAGTCCCCCCCCATTCCCCAGCCCCACCCTACTCAGGCTCTATCCCCGAAATATAATAATCCAGAGCTGGCCAACCTGTCGGTTGCCCCTGGCACAGTCCATCGCTGTAGCCACCGAAACCGTGAGCAGTGCTCCCTCTAAGCTGTGGAGTCTTGTGAGCAAAAATTCCATGTTGTGAGCTATTAGCATAAGAACATAAGAACGTAAGAGAAGCCAGTGTTGGGTCAGGCCCACTGGCCCATCCAGTCCAACACTCTGGGTCACACAGTGGCCAGAAATACCAGTGCCATCAGGAGGTCCAGAGGTGGGGCCAGGACACTAGAAACCCCTCCCACTGTTGCCCCCCCCCCCAAGCACCAAGAATACAGAGCATCCCTTCCCCCAGACTGAGAGTCCCTATCTACGCCTTGTGGGTAATAGCCACTGATGAACCTCTGCTCTTAACATAAGAACGTAAGATGATCCAATGTTGGATCAGGCCAATGGCCCATCCAGTCCAACACTCTTGGAAGGGGCCATAGAGGCCATCTAGTCAAAACCCCAGCTCAATGCAGGACCAGACTAGAGCATCCCTAACAAGGGTCTGTCGAGCCTCTGCTTGAAGACTGTGAGTTAAAAGCTGTCAAAGGCATTAAAGTTGTGAGTGAGCCATTTGGCTACTGCATAAATTAGTTTGCTCTGGAGCCCTCCTTCCTGAGCAAAGACGAAAATCTGTGAACTGGAGGCTAAAAAACTGTGAGCTAGCTCACACTCACTCAGCGTAGGGGGAACGCTGGCTGCCAGTAGGCCATACCTGGTTCTTCCAAAACCAGACAGAGAGCATTAAAGAACGGGGAATGGTTTAGAAACGTCCAAAGCTGCTTGATCATTTCGCCCAGAAATGGAAGATGTGACGAGGCCTAAAACCAGGCCCGTTCTGGCAGTAATGGGAGATGAACTGCGGGTGACCTCCCACTCTTCACAGCGGCCTTCAAAGTTCATGATTAGAAACAGATTATTTTTTTTAACAGCTCCTTCGGGCGGCCGTCAAAGCACGCCCGGTCCATTAAGCAATTGCCGTATCTGTGCCTCTTTTAGCATGTCCCGGTTAATAAAATTAGGGAATAAATAACACTTATTGCAGACAGGAACTGGAACTCAGCTCCGTGGGTGGGAAAGAAGAACGAGGCCTCTGGGATACTCTGAGCATCGGCTGAAAGGCCCTGGGAAGACGTCCAATCGGCCTGCTCCCTGCCACGTCGGGTGAATTGTTAATGCTTTGGAGTCTTGTGGCTGGGAGGGAGCAGCGGCCGGGCGGCACGAGGCGGCCGGTTAGCAGTTAGAGCTACCACCGCTGAAGGGTCAGTCCGAGAACCGCAGAAGAGAACGGAACTGGAACAGAAGGTAGGGATGCCACCCTCCAGGTGGGGCCTGGGGACCCCCCCAGAATTGCAGGCTCATCCCCGGACTACAGAGATCAGTTACCATGGAGGAAATGAATGCTTTGGAGGGGGGACTCTGTGGCACTGTACCCCCACTGAGGTCCCTGTCCTCCCCCCAAATCTCCAGGAGTATCCCAACTGGAGCTGGCAACCCTAAATGGAGGCGAGGAGGGCTGGAAGGGCAGCGGTGCTCCTGCCTTCCCGTCCACAAGCGGTGCTCCTGCCTTCCCGTCCACAAGCGGATTCTCACGTCTGCTTTTCACCTCTTGCCAGTTTGGTGTCGTGGTTAAGTGCGCGGACTCTAATCTGGGAGAGCCGGGTTTGATTCCCCACTCCTCCACTTGCAGCTGCTGGATGACCTTGGGCAAGCCGTAGTTCTGGTCAGAGCTGTCCTTGAAAAAGAGCAGTTTGTGTCAGAGTTCTCTCAGCCCCACCCACCTCACAGGGTGTCTGTTGGATAAACATCTGGAGCAGAGGTCCATCAGTGGCTATTAGCCACAAGGGATAGAGAGGAACTCTCAGGCTGGGGCAAGGGATGCTCTGTGTTCTTGGTGCTTGCGGGGGGGGGGGGAACAGGGGGGGGGGCTCCTGGGGCCTGGCCCCACTGCTGGACCTCCTGATGGCACCTGGTAATTCTGGCCACTGTGTGACACAGAAGAGTGTTGGGGATGGGCCATTGGCCTGATCCAACATTGTCTTCTCTTATGTTCTTATGTTAAGAGCAGAGGTCCATCAGTGGCTATTAGCCACAAGGTACGGATAGGAACTCTCGGTCTGGGGCAAGGGATGCTCTTGGTGCTTGGGGGGGCAACAGTGGGAGGGCTTCTGGTGTCCTGGCCCCACTGCTGTGCCTCCTGAGGGCACCTGGTATTTCTGGCCACTGTTTGACAGAGTATTGGACTGGATGGGCCACTGGCCTGATCCAACATTGGCTTCTCTTATGTTCTTATGTCTGTGGCAAGGGATGCTCTGTCTTCTTGGTGCTTGGGGGGGGGGGAAACAGTGGGAGGGCTTCTAGTGTCCTGGCCCCACTGCTGGACCTCCTGATGGCACCCGGTATTTTTGGCCACTGTGTGACATAGAGTGTTGGACTGGATTGGCCGCTGTATTACACAGAGTTGGACTGGATGGGCCATTGGCCTGATCCAACATGGGCTTCTCTCTTGTGTTCTTAAAGATGTCTATGGTTCTGGCCATCACTACATCCTCTGGCAGTGAATTCCACATTTTAATCGCTTGTTATGTAACAAAGTATTTCCTTTTGTCTGTCTTGAATCTGTTGGCCATCTGCTTCTTTGGATGATCTTCTGGTATTTTGAGAGAGGCAGGGAAAGTTGTCTCTTGTCTACTGTCTCTACCCCGTGCATGACTTTACAAGCTTCTATCATGTCTCCCCCCCTTTGTTGTCTCGTTCTAAACAGAAAGTCCCAGATGCTTCAGCATTTCCTGCTAGGAAACCAACCTTAATCCATGGCTAGAGAGTTTGTTTTTAAACAAAGAATATGTTTGTGCAGATCTTCTCTCTTACATAACGCCAGTTGTAGAACTTCAGCTTCCCAGTCTCAGAATCCAGGGCGTGAAGCGCATCTCTCCAGAGCCGTCCTCTGGTTACGGCTTGCCACTAGGCCGAGGAATCTTCCATTCCCGTCCCTTCCTGGCTAAAACCCTTGGCGAGACCGTCTAGGAGTTGGATCTCTCCCCTGGGCCGATCCCAGCACAGATGCTGTTGTTTTCCACTTGCTTTTTTTAAACAGCCATCCATCTTTGTCTTCAGGCTGGTCTCTTCGCTTCCTCCATTGCTGGCCTCACGGAGGAACTGCGCCTTCTCCAAGAGCGGCTGAGCAACTGGCAAGCATGGGAAAGCTACAGCCCGGCTGTCGAGAATGGGAGAGAGCCCCATTGAGGGCCGGCCGAGACCACATGGAGCTCCCCCTTTCCAGCTGGTTGTTGGGAGGGGGCCTTCGGAGTATCCAGCGACAGCCGCGATGCAGCGATGCCAGGTTTATGGACACCTGCAGCAGAATCCTGAACACATTCCCATTGGAACCAAACATTCCACTGGTAGAAGCCGCGCCGGCGCCCTCTGCTATGCAGAAAGACTCTATGCTGGATGTTTCCTTCATCGGCACTGGGCTAGGCAGAATCTCACTGAATTTCCATTCATGCTGGTAACGTAGAACATAGAAACATTGAGCTGGAAGGGGTCCCCCAAGGGCCATCTAGTCCAGCCCCCTGAACAGTGTAGGAAATTCACAGATACCTCCCCCACACTCCGCTGCTCTGTGCCCCGGGGAAGGCAAAAAAAAAAACCCTCCAGGTTCCCTGGCCAATCTGGCCTGGAGGAACATTCCTTCCTGACCCCAAAGCGGTTGTCGGCATTTCCAGTTTGGTGTCGTGGTTAAGTGCGCGGACTCTAATCTGGGAGAACTGGGTTTGATTCCCCCATTCCTCCACTTGCAGCTGCTGGATGACCTTGGGCAAGCCGTAGTTCTGATACAAGCTGTCCTTGAAAAAGAGCCATTTCTGTCAAGGGCTCTCTCAGCCCCCACTACCTCGCAGGGTGTCTGTTGTGGGGAGGGGAAGGGAAGGTTGTAAGCCGCTCTGAGACTCCTTTGGGTAGTGAAGGGCGGGGTATAAATCCAATCCTCCACTTCCTTCTAGGAGCCAGTTTGGTATATTGGTTAAGTGAGCGGACTCTAATCTGGGAGAGCCGGGTTTGATTCCCCCACTTGCACCTGCTGGATGAACTTGGGCAAGCCGCAGTTCTCAAAAGAGCTGTCCTTGAAAAAAGAGCAGTTTCTATCAAGAGCTCTCTCAGCCCCGCCTGCCTCACAGGGTGTCTGTTGTGGGGAGGGGAAGGGAAGGTTGTAAGCCACTCTGAGACTCCTTTGGGTAGCGAAGGGCGGGGTATAGATCCAATCTCCTCCTCCTCTTCTTCATCTCCTTCTTCCCTGGGCGTGCCAGAAAGGGGGACGAGAGCCGAACACTGTCTCATCCCTTCCGCCCCTCCCTTTCACTGTCTGCCGAAATCCACAGAATCAACGGTGCTGTCCGATGGCCATCTCGCCTCTGCTTTGAAAACCCCTCAAAACGAGACGCAGCTTCAGTATTTTCCAGAGCCAGCCCACCACAGAGCACCAGGGGGGCTTCATTCTTGTACAGTCTGCTTTTAAAACGAGAATCCAAACAAACCCTGACCTTCCCATAGCCTCACGACATGTGTTCAGCCTTAAAAGCCAGGGTATCTACTCAGGACCTCTTCACACTTAAGGCGTCACTAACTGGCGTCCATTCCTCCTGTGTGGATGCTGCTCTGAAGTGCCTTGCAGGGTCAAGATCAAAATCGACCTGATCCAGCGTCTGGGGAAAGACACCCGCAGTTGACAACAGCCTGTGCCGTCTCCGAAGCAATTCCTTCAGAGGCACAGGGGTCATTTCATAGAAAAAGAGCTTGGGGAACTCATTAGCATATGCCACACCCCCTGACATCACCGGAAGTGTGACATAAGGCCACACCCCCTGACATCACCGGAAGTGTGTCATAAGGCCACACACCCCGCCCCCAATGGTCCCAGCCGCCGCCGGCCTTGCAGCTCCACTGCCGAGCCCCATGAGGGGCCCGGCGATGGGCCTGCAAGCCCGGCGGGAGTGCAAGGAAGCCCCGCGAAGGCCCTCCCTGGCCCCAGGCAGGCAGGGGTGGGGAGAGGCAGGGAGGAAGCAACTTACCCTCCCTCTTCTCCTGCCTCCTCCTGGCTGAATGAGGGCCGGGAGCGGGGCGGCCGGAAGCAGGGGGCGGGGCTTCGTCATGTGCCCCGCCCCCCGTACCTCACCCCGGGGAACTGCGATCCCCCCTGAAATGACCTCTGCAGAGGTAGTAAGGAAAGTTACAGGGTTAGAGAGTCCTGTTCCCATTTGGAGGAAGAGACTCGCCACCCCTGTTCTTCGCTCCTTTCAGCTATGCCGCCGCCGTCCCGATCACCCAGGGGGTTTCCTGCATTCTCTGTTTTCGTGCTTGTCGCTTCAGGTTGTGTCCCCCGTTTCATCAACACGTGTCTTGCTCCCTCTAGTGGCCGATTCGATACTACACAGCTCGTTGTCCAGTGTAAAAACCTGCAGTGTTGACATCTTCAAGGAGATATGCTGGAGATAAGGAGAGCCAGTTTGGTGTAGTGGTTAGGAGTGCAGACACTAATCTGGGAGAATGGGTTTGAAGAAGAAGAGGAGGAGAAGAGATTGGATTCATACCCCGCACTTCACTCGGGAGTCTCAGAGCAGCTTACAAACTCCTTTCCCTTCCCCTCCCCACAACAGACACCCTGTGAGGGAGGCGGGGCTGAGAGAGCTCTGACAGAAACTGCTCTTTTTCAAGAACAGCTCTGACAGAACTACGGCTTGCCCAAGGTCATCCAGCCAGGTGCAAGTGGAGGAGTGGGGAATCAAACCCGGTTCTCCCAGATTAGAGTCCACGCACTTAACCACAACACCAAACTGGCTCCTCCGCATGCAGCTGCCGGTGTGACCTTGGGTCAGTCACAAGTTCTCTCAGAGCTGTTCTCTCAGGAGCAGTCCTCGAAAGAGCTCTCTCAGCCCCACCTACTTCCCGGGGTGTCTGTTGTGGGGAGGGGAAGGGAAAGAAGTTTGTAAGCCGCTCTGAGACTCCTTCAAGTAGTGAAGGGCTGGATATAAATCTCTTCTCCTCCAATGTAATATCGAATCAACTGCTAGAGGGAGCAAAACACACATGGGACAGAAGAGCCCCTCCAACTCAACAGGCACAAGGGAGGAAAATGAGCATGTGGAAGACCCCTTCGTAGAGGGTGATGAAATAATCCCTCTTGGGGGTGGGGCTCCAGGGCTGAGGTCTGCTGCCACTCACCTACTGAGGCCGCGGTTACAAGGAGAGGGGGTTTGTGGGCAGCTTAAAGGGGAAGCCCTCCGCACAGCAATTCAGGCCTGGCTCAGAACCTCTTCAGGCTTTGGTCTAGAATTCTCACAGGACTTTCTTTTCAGAGGCAGCTTTCTGCCCGTAAGAGCAGTAAAAACAGCCTCAGAGGTCTTCAGAGCAGAAGCAAGATGGGTAGAAAGTGGGTTAGGAATCGGAAATTGCTTGGAATTTATCACCAGTTTTTTGTAGCCAGTTGGGGTGTGGTCTGAGAGCCAGTTTGGTGTCGTGGTGAAGTGCACGGACTCTAATCTGGGAGAACCGGGTCTGATTCCCCCACTCCTCCTCCACTTGCAGCTGCTGGATGACCTTGGGCAAGCCATAGTTCTGTCCTTGAAAAAAGAGCAGTTTCTGTCAAGAGCTCTCTCAGCCCCACCGACCTCACAGGGTGCCTGTTGTGGGGAGGGGAAGGGAAAGGCATCTGTGAGCCGCTCTGAGACTCCTTTGGGTAGTGAAGGGCGGGGTATAAATCCAATCTCTTCTTCTTCTGAGACTCCAAGTGAAGGGCAAGGGGAATAAATCCAATCTCCTCCTCCCCCTCTTCTTCTCCTCCTCCTCCTCCTCTAGCTAGTAGCGAAGGGCAGGGTATAAATCCAATCTCCTCCACCTCCATCTAGAAGCCAGTGGTTAAGTGCGCGGACTCTAATCTGGGAGAACCGGGTTTGATTCCCTCACTCCTCCACATGCAGCTGCTGGTGTGACCTTGGGCAAGCCGTAGTTCTGACAAGAGCTGTCCTTGAAAAAGAGCTGTTTCTGTCAGAGCTCTCTCAGCCCCACCCACCTCACAGGGTGTCTGTTGTTGGGAGGAGAAGGAGAAGGAGTTTGTCAGCCGCTCTGAGACTCCTTTGGGTAGTGAAGGGCCATGGGGTATGAATCCAATCTCTTCTTCTTCTTCTGAGACTCCAAGTGAAGGACAAGGGGAATAAATCCAATGTCCTCCTCCTCCTCCCCCTCTTCTTCTCCTCCTCCTCTAGCTAGTGCTGATTTTTGCCCCCCAAGATAGAAATGACTGTTTTCTGCAACACCCCCATATTGATGGGCACAAGGCCGGGGCTGCTTGTGTGGTGATTTGCTGTGATCCGTCGGCTGCCATCCGTTGGCACCGGAAGGGCTTTTGCTGCACAATCCTAAACTGACTTATGCCTTTCTAAGACCTTCAGGCACCATTGAGGCCTTGATTGGATGGCATCGGGGGATGCCCCCCCCCCGTGGTGCCATGCGAGTTCCCGGCTGCCAAGAGGGCAGTATTACATAGTGTGGGCGCAGGTGAGGACATCACTGGCCAGTAGTATTGCCAACCTCCAGGTGGGGACTGGAGATCTCCCGGAATGACAACTGATCGGACAGAGATCATCTCCCCTGGATGCTTTGGAGGGTGGACTAGATGGCATCATTCCGCGGTGAGATCCCAACCCCTCCCCGGGCCCTGCCCTCCTCAGGCGCCGACCCCAAATCTCCTGGAGTTTTCCAGCCGAGAGCTGGCGACCGGACTTGCCTGCCAACATCAGGGTCTGCTCTCCGCCCAGCAGCCGCGTGCCTTCGCAGTGTGGCAGCCGCTGCCCCAGTGCCTTCGTCCCTGTCTCCTGCTGCCCTCCAGTGATGGCACCAAACCCCCTTCACTGTTGCATGAGCCATCTCTGGCACACCCCTCCCTGACTCCGGTGCAATTGAGCAGCCACCAAAACCTCTGGGACTCCAGGACAGGCTTCCGTGAGGCCTGCGAAAAAGTCAAAAGGGCCCTTTCCCTAAACCTGCACTTTCCCCCCACTTGCCTCGAAGAGGCTACCCGGAAATTCATGACCTGCACCGTCAGGTGGTATTAAATGCTGCTTATGCATTCTGTATATATATATATATATATCTCAAGCCTTCCAGGCTAGAAGGACCTCCTAGCCTGGGTGAACAGGAGAGTAATGCTGGTACCGAGGAATTGCATATGCTGCTCCGTCCCTGTATCTCTGTACCGCTTGTTGTTTTATTCGGTCTCCGTGTCTTGAATTGCTGTTCTGTGTGTTTTCCGGCAAGAGGAATCCGGAACGGGACTGGGGACGTTTTGCCACGGAGACTTCGATGTGGCCTCACTGCGCTAAAGGCTCTGCCGTGGGCACACGGCGACTGCTAGAGTTTTATCCTACGCACTTGGGTAAGAAATAGGAAGCAGGGGGGTTTAAACTAAAGCTTTTAGCAGTTCGAAAGCAAGAAATCGCAAGTAGATAAATAGGTACCACTTCGGCGGGAAGGTCACAGCGTTCCGTGCGCCTTGGTGTTTAGTCATACCGGCCACATGACCACGAAAACGTCTTCGGACAGCGCTGGCTCTTCGGCTTTGAAACTGAGATGAGCACCACACCCCTAGAGTCGGACTCGACTGGCTTTCGAGCAAGGGAACCTTTACCTTTCTTTAATCAGTGGTATGGGGAGGGAGGGCAGCCTGATATTCCATTTAGTCAGAGCTCGGGAGCTAACCGAGGTCCGTAATTCGATAGGAGACCGTCAGGGAAGAGGCTGCAGAGGAAGGCACTGCCCGCCACCTCTGTATGTCTTTTCAGCTGACCTGGGTGGCCTCTCTCATCAGACCTTGGAAGCTAACACCAGGGTCGGTACTTGGAAGGGGGGAACCACCAAGGAAGACTCTGCAGGGGAAGGCAATGGCAAACCACCTCTGCTTCTCAGATCTTGGAAGTTAAGCAGGGTTGGTACTTGGAAGGGAGACCACCAAGGAAGGCTCTGCAGAGGAAGGCAATGGCAAACCACCTCTGCTTCTCAGATCTTGGAAGTTAAGCAGGGTTGGTACTTGGAAGGGAGACCACCAAGGAAGGCTCTGCAGAGGAAGGCAATGGCAAACCACCTCTGCTTCTCAGATCTTGGAAGTTAAGCAGGGTTGGTACTTGGAAGGGAGACCACCAAGGAAGGCTCTGCAGAGGAAGGCAATGGCAAACCACCTCTGCTTCTCAGATCTTGGAAGTTAAGCAGGGTTGGTACTTGGAAGGGAGACCACCAAGGAAGGCTCTGCAGAGGAAGGCAATGGCAAACCACCTCTGCTTCTCAGATCTTGGAAGTTAAGCAGGGTTGGTACTTGGAAGGGAGACCACCAAGGAAGGCTCTGCAGGGGAAGGCCATGGCCCACCCCCTCCGCTTCCCACTTGCCTTGGAAGCCCCTTGCTGGGGTCGCCATAATAGTTGCTACAGCAGTCAGGTACATAGGTAATCAGTGGTATTGCACAGCTTTTTTGTTTTTGCTTTGGCCCAACACAGCTAGCTGCGACTTCTGTGCCGATTTACACATGCTGTGTGGCATGACGCACATGAGTCATCGAGGTACAAATGGCAGCATTCCCCCCACCCCACGCACATGGTGTACATTTTTTTTATTTAAGAGTCTGAAAAGTGCAGTATTTTGAAGCCTAAACACTCTCTGTGTAATTTACGCAGTTTGGGTGTTGGAGAACTTTTGAGAAGTGCTGGGGGTTGCGGAGTGCGCTCAGGGTCCCTCACTTATGTCCCTGGGCAGTTCTCCCTTCCATCTTTACCTTCTCCCCCTCCCTTTTGAAAACAAATAATTTTGCACAGCATCTAGTCCCATAGGGGCACCAAGGTCACAAAAGTAGTAACAGCAACAGGAACGGTAATTGTATTACTACTGTGGCCACTATCAAGAATGATACGATCGTATAACACATTGCTGCTTTCGCGACTGTTATTAAAATGTTAATAAAATACCAGTATTAATAATAAATTATTACCATTATCGGTAGCCCAATTTGTTGTCGTTGGTGTTATTTTCTGAAAACCTTTCTCATTAATGCCAAGCGTGGGGGTGGCAGGCGGGTTGTAGCCATCTCTTCCCTGTCCTGGGAAGGGAACTTTGCACATGTTCAGAGGCCTCCTTGCCCCTCCCCAGTTGATTAACTCTATAAAGGAAGCCACAAAGGCCCTCAGTTTGCATGACCTGAGCGAGGCTGTTCATGACCAATGCTCCCTCTAAGCTGTGGAGCCTTGTGAGCAAAAAATCTAATCTGTGAGCTACTGGCACTAAAGTGGTGAGCGAGCGATTTGGCTACTGCATAAATTAGTTTGCTCTGGAGCCACATCCTTCCCGAGCTGAGACAGAAATGTCTTTTAGCTGGAGGCTAAAAAACTGTGAGCTAGCTCACACTCACTCAGCTTAGAGGGAACACTGTTCATGACCGGACCATTTTGGAGGCCATTCATTCACAGAGTCGCCTAAGTCAGAAGCAACTCGACAGCGCTTCACACTAGACTAAGATTGCCAACTTCCGGGGGGTGGGAGACTGGGGGGCATTAGGGGAGGGGCCGTGGCTCAGCCGCAGAGCCTCCGCTTTGCACGCAGAAGGTCCCGGGTTCAATCCCCGGCACCATCTCCAGTTAAAGCACCAGTTGGCCACAGGGGATGGGAAAGACTCTCTGCCTGAGACCCTGGAGAGCCGTGGCCAGTCTGAGCGGAGGAGACTCAGCGGCTGATCCGGTAGAAGGCACCTTCCTGTGTTCATGTGAGATCCCCCCCTATCATCACTGAGTTCCAGACGACAGTGGTCGGTTGCCCTGGAGGAAATGGCTGCTTTGGAGGGTGGGGGCTCTGTGGCATTGTGCCCCACTGAAGTCCCCCCCCCATACCCCAAACCCTGCCCTCCCTAGGCTCAGCCCCCCCAAATCTCCAGGTATTGCCCACTCACCCCTCCTAATCACACAGGGTGATTTTCCATGGGAGAGCAAATGTAGAGTCCGGTGGCACCTTGAAGACCAACAAAGGTTTATTCAAAGTATGAGCTTTCGTGTGCACGCGCACTTAGTGCATGCACACAAAAGCTCATACCCTTGAATGCTTCCGACCAAGAAGGCTGACCACCTGGAATCATAGAATGTTAGAGTTGGAACTGGGACCTCGCAGGTCATCTAGTCCAACCCCCTGCACTCTGCAGGAGCACAGCCGAAAGAGAGCCCTACGACATACCCGGAAGATGGCCGTCAAGCCTCCGCTCGAAAATGTCCAGCGAAGGCGCCTCCACCGCCTCCCGAGGCAGACTGTTCCACTGCTCAATCACTCTGACAGTTAGGAAGTTTCTCCTGATATTTAGCTGCTCATCAGCTCCCTTGTAATTTCCACCCGTTAGATCTAGTCTTGCAATCCGGAGCAAGAGAGAATAGATCTGCTCCATCTTCTACATGGCAGCCCTTCAGATACTTGAAGACTACAATCGTGTCCCCTCTAAGCTCAGCTTTTACAGTTCAGCTTTTACATTGCAGTTGTCCTGCTTTTAAACTCTCCCCTCTAAACAGTTCAGCTTTTACATTACAATTGTCCTGCTTTTAAACTCTCCCCTCTAAAAGTTCCCGCTCAGGGAGCTTGCTGTAAAGTGATTGGCTAGGTGCTTCCTGGGCTAGCAATGCGATTGGTCATAGGACTCTTTTTGTAGCAGGAACTCCTTTGCATATTAGGCCACACACCCCTAATGTAGCCAATCCTCCAAGAGCTTACAGAGCTCTTCTTACAGGGGCTATTGTAAGCTCTTAGAGGATTGGCTGCATTAGGGGTGTGTCGCCTAATATGCAAAGGAGTTCCTGCTACAAAAAGAGCCCTCATGGATTTGGATCCTAGCCCAGGACGAAGCTCAACATGGCAAGTCAATTAGATGCTTCACATACATCATGCATTCAATGGCAGCTATTGAATACATTACACTGGAGACTTTGGGGACAGGAGAGGACGGGGTAGGGTTGCCAGCCTCCAGGTGGGGCCTGGGGATCTCCCGCTTTTACAACTGATCTCCAGCCGACAGAGATCAGCTCCCCTGGAGAAAATGGCTGCTTTGGAGGATGGACTCTGTGTAGGCTTGCCAAGTCCCCCCGGGGGGGCGGGGAAACCCCCACCCGAGAGGCCTGTTACCCGCCGCCAGCGGATCGGGCCCCGGGGGAACCCCACCCCCAAAGCACGCGACGGGCCCG